TTATTAGATGGTCATCAGAATTTTGTAATGTCAGTCTGTTTCTCTCCTGATGGAAATACATTAGCTTATGGTTGTTGGGATAACTCTATCCGTCTGTGGGATGTACAAACAGGATAATAAAAAGCCTAATTAGATGGTCATTAGCAAATTGTAATGTCACTCTTTTTCTCTCCTGATGGAAATATATTAGCTTCTGGTAGTTATGATAAGTCTATCAGTTTATGGGATGTAAAAACAGGATAATAAAAAGCCTAATTGAATGGTCATGATGATGCTGTTATATCAGTCTGTTTCTCTCCTAATGGAAATACATTAGCTTCTGGTAGTAATGATAAGTCTATCCGTCTATGGGATGTCAAAACAGGATAATAAAAAACCAAATTAGATGATCGTAGTAATTGTATCAACTCAGTCTGTTTCTCTCCTGATGGAACTACATTAGCTTCTAGTAGCCAAAATTAGTCAATCCGACTATGGAATGTTTAAAAAGGAAAAGAAATGTAGCCAGCTGACAAAAAATATAAAGAAATTCTTGCTTAATTTAAAGCCCCACTTTTTTAGAACAATTCTGTACCAGGTATTTATGCAATTATAATCTTTAAGAATCCAAAAATATTACAATTCTAAGAATATCTTAAACACCATTATTTTAAGCATAAGACGCTTTGATCTTGAAAGGAGAGTTTTTAAATTCTGAAGGATACGATTTAACATAATTATTAAAATCAAAAGGATGCTGCTTTTTAGAAGACTATAAGAAAAAGTGAACATGATTATGCATTATCAATATTACAATTATAATTACAATCTATATATTCTATTTTTTTTAATTATGTCTTAATTATTTTCACTCTTCATTTTCACTTCTAAAGCTAGGTAAGTACTTATTTTTCAAATTTTTATTCTATTTCTGTCATATATAATTTACATCTATTTTAATATTACTACAATATATGGTCAGTTTAGTGGAGGGAATAATAATGGAGATGTCATAAAACTTTTATCAATTAATATTTGTAGAGATTTAAATTTAAATGATGCTACATTAAATTAATAATCTAAACAGAGAACATTAATCACAATGAAAAGATTAATATAAAGAGTGGAAAAATTACTTAAAGAAACTAAC